ACCTATTTCAATATTTCTTCATCTGAAAAACAAGATAAAACCTTACTCTTCAGGAATGTTGTAAGAATTCAAAAGAAGAATTTATATAAAGCAGGCACAGCACAGTACCCATAACTATTATAATAATTATCTATCCTGTTTATTGGCTCAAGACTAGGTTAATGAACAAGCAAGACAGGATGTGGCTTTTACTTCCTGATGTTCTTGCTAAAAGGACAAAGATAGGAAGTAGACACTAAGAGAAGGCAAAATATTAACTCCTGCCTCAGCATAATTCACCACCACTACACTAACCAAGTGACTTAATCAATCTCCTAAATGTTTTGCATTTTTCTCCACCAATAACTTCCCTATCTGACACATTTTACTTTTGGAGCAAGAATTCTTAAAAATGGATCCACAGATAAGTTTTTAAGGGTCTAGGAACTCCTAAAATAAATGCAAAATAGCACAGATGGAAACATGTTCTTTTTTTCTGGGGGCATAGACAAATAGCTTTTATCAAATTCTCAAAGGAAATCCTAACACAAAAACAGTTGTGCAATTACCACCGTATGACTCAGCAACTACACTTCTGGAATTTTAAAGATGTGATATGGTGATGGTTGTACATTTAATACTACTGACCTGTAGAGTTTTAAAAATGATAAGTTTGGGTTGGGGTTGTGGCTCATTGGTAGAGCGTTTGCCTAGCTATTGTGCGGCACTGGGTTCAATCCTCAGCACCACATTAAAATAAACAAATTAAATAAAGGAATGCTGTCCATCTACAACCACAAAATAAATAAATACATTAAAAAATAAAAAATAAGAAAACTAAATAAACAAAATAAAGGTATTGTGTCCATCTACAACTAAAAATGTTTTTTTAATGATGAATTTGATATTATGTTTATCTGATAAGAAATATTCTGATATTTACAACATACTTTCATTCATTCACTAATCAACTAATCTATGCTGAGATTCTATGATGTCAGGTACTTTGCGGATAAGGAATTCAAAATTTCCCAAATAAGAAATATAAATTACTAAAAGAAACTTAGCAAGTAACAAAATACAGGAATAAAGTCTCTGGAGGTAGAGAAAAGAACAATTAACATTCTGAAGATTTCAGGGAAGGTTTAACAGAAGAGATGACATTTAAGCTGGGCCTGGAAGAACGAATGGACGTTTACAAGGCAAAAGGTGTGTGTTCCAAGGAAAGAGGAAAGCACAATCATAGGCAAAGAAGAATAAAAGTGGTGGCATATTATAGTTATAGTGCCATAGCTAGAGAAAGGGATGAATATAAAATGGTGGGTTAGACTACTCTGCTAAGCACTGATGTAGAAAAAGCAAACACAGAGTCTGCTCTCAGTAACCTTCATGGTGTTGTACTATGAGAGATGGCTAAGGCAGAAGAATGGAGGATGCCAGGGGAATACCATGAAGGGAAAGCCTTTAAGCCATGCTCAGGAAAGTGAACTGTATCCAGTTGGGGAAAGAGTCACTGAGGGATCTGGGTTGTATTTTATATATCAACTGTAAGTGCAGAAAGGTCTAAAGAAAGGAAGGAAAGGCTCAAAGCAGGGAGCCAAACAGGAGGTAATAATAGTAATACAGATAAAAGGAAAGGGTTAAAACTAAGACAAAAATAGTAGAAAGAGAAGACAAATTTTAATTATTTTCTCATTTACTATAAGATGAAACACTAGGGATATAACAGTAAAAAGTAAGTAATCCCTATAATTGAAAATCACACAGTCTAGTGAGAGATTTTTTAAAAATAGACTATTATAATAAAGTATGGTAAGTATGTGCTATGACCATTGTAAACAGGGGCTCTTAAATAAGATTTGAAGAGTACGAGGCTTAGAAGGTAATACAGTCAAGGAAGACCTCTCCTCCTAGAGATAATAATTTCTAAGGTAAGATTTAAAGGATGAGAAGGAGCTGGTTAGGGAAAGGATATGGGAAGGTAGGAAGGAATTCAAGAAATATTTTTAAAAGTTTTAAAAATAGGAGGGAAAAAAAATCTCAGGTTTCTAGTTTGAGTGACTGGTTGAATGATGATGTCACCGAGAAAGGGAAATATAGGATAGCAGTCAGGCAGATTAGAAAGTCATGCCTCCCTAGAAATTCAGATGAAAACACTAGTGGACAATGAAAAATATATGTCCTGACCTCCAGCAAGAGATCCAGGTATTTGATAAGAGTATTATATTATAACCATTGCTTTTCCTACTTTAAGCAAAAGCTATTAATGTTTTGTATTTTCTATTAGAAATAATCTGGTGAACTAGAGATGATAACACAATGTCTCATTTCTGACCAGCAACAAAGAATGTTCTTTTGTTTGTTATGGCACTGGGGATTGAACCTGGGGCTTTGCATGTGCTAGGCAAGAAATCTGCCACTGAGCTACTTTCTCAGCTCTAGTAAAGAATATTCTTTACCCAACTAACTCCCAAGTTACATACCTAGCCTTCAATATTTCCATTGATGTGCGATGCTGAAAACAAAATATTATTCTATGAAACGTTCATTTCACCACTCCCAAATGTTTATAATAAATATGCATTATAACTATCAAGGGAAAAAAGTATTATAAAGTGCCATATTCATCATATATTCATTATAATTTTTCCATATTATGTATGCTGTTTATTTGTAGATCTGATCCTGGACTAAAATTAAATCTTCATCTCAAAGTCAACAAAGGAGGAGAGTCTAATATTTTGCCAGACAACAATTTAGTAAATGCCACAAATAAGATCTGTTTAAATTTTTTTTTCCTGTTTTGTAGTCATACACATCACATCCTGATATAGTACTAAAAGAGATTTAAAGGCTGAAGACAGCTGAGTGTGGTATTGCATACCAGGAATCCCAGCAACTCAGGAAGCTGCAAGTTCAAGGTCAGTCTCGGCAATTTAGCAAGACCCCATCTCAAAATGTAAAAATTAAAATTAAAAATTAAAAAAAATAAAATTAGACTGGGGAATCTAGAAAGTGGAAGAGCGCCCCAGGTTTAGTCCCAGTACCACAAAATAAAATGCATAAAAAGGAAGAATTTTGCCCAGAAAAAAAAAATGTTATTCACAATAATGAAAGTCAAGGTTTTTAATGGGATACACTAACTACTTAGTGACCAAATAAAACCACTTTTACAAAAGTGAATTTTAACAAGTATAATTTTACTAATTCATTATGACATTACTGGCTTTGACAGATCATGAAAGTTTGTCTACCCTATAAATCTCACCTAAAATAAAAGCCTAGAGAAAATATTTTCATGAATATCAAATAATGTATTAATATATCACAACATTTATAAAATGTGACTATAACCTAAAAACTAACAAAGTTTTAAAACTTCTAACTTTTATAACACAGTTAGAAAATGTTAGATACAATGTTTTATTGTTTGTTTGTTTGTTTGTTTTTGAGAGACAGAGAGAGAGACAGAGAGAGAGAGAGAGAGAGAGAGAGAGAGAGAGAATTTTTTAATATTTATTTTTTAGTTTTCGGCAGACACAACATCTTTATTTGTATGTGGTGCTGAGGATCGAACCCAGCGCCGCGCACATGCCAGGCGAGCGCACTACCGCTTGAGCAACATCCCCAGCCCAAATACAATGTTTTTAAATTGTTATTTTTTATTCCCTACAAAGACTAACATTGGTACCCCTGAACATTATGATTACTAAAAGTTACTGAAAGCTTAATTGACCAAAATATAACACACATTACAATCGGTGGTTTAGGCAAGAGCATTTTATTATGATACTCTAATTAATATTGAAACTCACTATAAGAGTATTTTATACTGGGCTGGGGTTGTAGCTCAGTGGTAAAGCACTTGCCTAGCATGTATGAGGCACTGGGTTCGATTCCCAGCACCACATATAAATAAATAAAATAAAGGTCCATGGATGACTAAAAAAAGAAAAAATATTTTTTAAAAGTATTTCATATATTAAAAAACTACTGTGGAAGTCAAGAAAGCAAATCCTAAAACACTGGAGTATATGCCTATTTTCACAGGCTTGATAGGTACAGAAAAACATACATATTCAAATATAGCCATTATAAAATGTGTCTCACATAAACAAATCAAGCAAAATTATTTAAGGACTATTTGACAATAAGAAACCCAAACATCATTACAAATTTGGTAACCAAATGCTTATTTTTCCTCTTTCAAACCAAAGTTGAAAATGTTTAAATCTTAATAAGAGGCAAAATTATATAAAAGAAAGAATGCTGAACTTTTCAATCAGGTACAAGCACCAACGGTAATTTGATATGTGACATTGGATTTCCCCCACCCCCCATGAGTAAGAAAGAAACTGGACTATATGATCACCAAGGAGGTTTTTTCATTGTTTTTGTTTATTAGAGGTATTTTGTTTTTGTTTTTTTGCTTTTGTTTTGTTTTGTTTTCCTATGGAATGAACCCAGGGATACTTAACCATTGAACTATTTTATGACAGGATCTCTCTAAATTGCTAAAAATCTCACTAAATGGCTAACTGGCTTCTAATTCACAATCATTCTGCCTCAGCCTCCCAAGTTGCTGGAATTTCAGGTGTATGCTACAGAGTCCAGCTTAGAGGCTTTGTATAACAAAACAAAGGCAATTTTCAAAAAGTTGAGAATTTGGTCAGATTTGAATAAAGTAAATTAACTCAAACTAAGTAATGACATTCCGAAAGTTGCACAGACTAAGTGTACAGGATGTCAAGTCATGTTTGTTCTTCAAAGAGACGATACTAAGGTCATTGAAATTCATATAGATACAAAGCACATCCTGCAAATAAAGGTTGCCTTATATTTAATGAAATAAAGCATAAAGATCCCATTTAGATAGAATTATGGTAAAGATGAACAAGGTAGTATTTACCAAACTATGTATCAGAAACAGAAGGGTGTGTGCATGTACACACATATACACCATACATATATATTCTATGTAGATGTGTATATGAAGTCACCTGTAATTTTAATTTACATACCTCTGCAGGTCAACTATTTCATTGTTAAGTGTATCTAGCTCCTTAATAGCAGAGAAATCTGCAACAGGACTTGATCCTATGATGTTCTGAAAAAAAAAGTTCACAATTACGCATTACTATAAAGTTAGATAAGGCCAAGTACTGAAAATGCTAAAAGCTATACACAGATACAAGGTATTACATATTTTACTGCATTATTAATACTTTTAATTCATTTAATAAAATCATATCTGGTATAATTATAGAGTAATATAAGTTCCCTTAAATTCTCAAAAAGCTGTTATTCTATAAAATGTATCCTCACCTCATATCCAAAAGTTTTTGTGACTTGATTCTAGCCTGTTCAGAATTTTGCAGTAAAACAAATACCAGATTTATAAACTAATTCCTCCACCAAAGTATAAATTTCTTAGGGAAATCAATGGAGGATTTGTTTGTAATTGTATCATTTGACACAGAATAAGTATGCAATTTTTTGTTGAATCTCAGAATTATAATGGTTGACTTAGTTCAATAAGTATTTTACTTTGGTTAAATACATTCAGTGTCTGTTTAAAGTAAAAACAAACTGTTCAGGTATATTTTCTATAGTAAGTATTAGTATCACCACATAAAAGACTGTCTTTATACATGACATCCTTTATATATGGTTTTCTTCCAATAATGAAGGTACAAAAATTGGTCCCTAAATGATACCTGCACTTAGAAAATTCAGCTGAGTTTATTCACAACTCTGCTATTTTACTAGCTGCATGATCTTCACCTGTAAGATAGGGAAATAATCTCTGCCCTGGCCATTTAACAAATTAAATGAAATATATCTCCTTTGTAAACTATAACTGAGGTTCTATATGGCTGGTTGAAGTCAGAGCAAAAACACTTTATACCCAGTGCTACAAAGAGAATGACAAATAACAAAATAATCACATTTCTAAAATGTTACATATATTGATGACTGTATTAGTAAAATATAAAACTCAGTAGAATTAAAAATTACATTCTTATGAACTTATGTCATCAACTTGCACAACAATATCCTATACTTCACATTTATATGGTCATTTTTAATTCATAAGCACTGTCAAATCCATTGGTCAATTCTCAAAATTAATATAAAAAGTGGGTTGTTAGGGAAGGAGGTAGGGCAGACATTATTTTTAACCTCATTATATAGCTAAGGAAACATATTCAATGGCTGCACAAATTTAGCTAACAGCTAAATCAAGAGTCTTCTGATTAAATTCAAGTGCCATTTTACACTATGCCCCTTGGCACTTGCATGTCAAGATCATTAAGTACATGTTAAAAGTATATGTTAAAAGTAAACTTGATGATCCACAAAATTTGGCAAATAATTCCTTCTGTTTTTTTTTAATGCCATATTGCATTTTTAGCACTGAGCTGTTTTGACTATCAATTTGAAAATTCATCTATGAAAATTCAGTTAATGATATTTTCAATTTTATATTTTAGATTCATATCAAATATACTGTTTTACTGTACTTCACTGATACACAAAACTTATTAATGCCATATTAAATTAGAAGTATTAAAGTAGATTTCTGAATGTGACAGTCATTCCCTAGAATTATAAACTGTTTAAACTTGTCCAGTTAGCTAAGCCACACAAGACAGCCAAACAAGTAAATAAAATGGAAAAAAATAGCACTTGGTTTCACTTTCATCGCCAAGAGTAACTTCTACACATAAATGCTACTGAGAAATTTGCTATCAGAGGTGCAAGCACATCCAAAAACACATGACTTCCACACCTCTTCTGTCACTCTAATTTACAAGTGACTCATATTTGACCATCTTTCCTAATAAAATATCATTAATTAAGAAGACAGAATGAGACAAATTGGTTTAACCTCAAATAAGTAAAAGGTAATACCTTAGATGACTAGAATGGCACAAAACTAGGAAGCAAGAAAAAAGTTCAGCTATTATTATATACAACATTTGGAAGGTTATCTGAAGAAAAATGTAATTAGTAAAACTTTCAACATATTTTCTCTCACCCTGTTTTGTGCATTATACAAAAATTCCACATTGATGATTTTAAGTGGATCAGAGAGCCCAGGGAAGGCAAGCTAAAATACACAAGGACCAAGTGATATATAACAAAAGCATACTGTTTAAGTTATTTTCTCTGCATCAACTTTGGTCATAAAAAACTTCTAATTTCAAAATGTATAGTGTAAACCAAAAACTGTAAGGCTACAAAAAAAAAGCATAAAATAAAGCTCTAACCTTGAGGGAGAGTAGAGTTAAGAAACTGACAGTACAAGAAAGGCGAAAAGCAGAGTGCTGCAGAATGGAAAAAATAGTCCAAACTAGAAAAAACACAGAAAGGAAAGCAACATTCAAAAGGATTAGTCAAAGCTGCCCCAAAAAAAAAAAAGCCGTATTTTAAAAAATCGATTATACAGATAAAAGAGATGATCTGAAAGATAAAATGAATGCAAATTTTATTTTAGTATTAAATTTTTGGTTAATAGATAAGTCAACAGTGATAAAATCCCATTTCGATGAATGCTGATATCCAATACAAAACTGACTAAAAGTTTTCTATGTTCTAGTGAACAGACTTCAGATAAACCTACTAAATTAAAAACTGTGTATACCCAGATGCAACTTCAAATATCTACCAACATTACAGAGATTTCAGTGAACAATTTGCTTCAGAAATCTGTCATAATTTTGTGTTGGTGAAAGTCTTATTAGTAGTTATAATATAAAGGAGGCATGGAAAAAAATCTAAATGTGTGAGAGAATAAGCCAACACAGTATTCTATAACTAAAATACAGTTACATAGCACAAGACATAAATACAAATTCACTAATATTATCTTTAACAAAAACAATTTTTAAAAATTTGCAAAGTACTACCAACCCCCATCAAAAAAGACCCTCACAAAACAGATAATAAAATTTTTATTTTATTAAAAACAAGAACAAGAAGCTGGGGCTGGGGCTCAGCGGTACAGCACCCACCTAGCATGTGTACTGGGTTCGATCCTCAACACCACGTAAAAATAAATAAATAAAATACAGGTATAAAAAAAAAATCACACCAATCTTTTTTTAAAAAAATACTCCTATAAGTAGCTCTCTATATCCAGTGGCAGTAAATTTCATTTAGTTTACTTAGGGGGAAAAAAATCCAATGTTGACTTTTATTAGGTTAAAATGGGACTTTTTAAACCCTTGTTACAAAATTAATGCAAAACCAAAACATTATATTTACTTTTTAAATTACAGCATTATAGAGATGCATAGTTGTTGGGTTAAACTCAATAAAATCATATGCACAGAAGTGAATTTTAATTTCTGTCACGTCACCACCTACTACCCCTGCCCACCTTTGCCATTTGCCCTCCCTTTCTTCTTCCCCGCCATTCTCCTTCCTTACTCAACTGATCGTCCTTTCACTCATTTTATATTGATATTTGAAAGAGAACCTCCTTATACATAGCACACATTTGACAGCTCCTATTTTAAATAATCCTGAAAAAATTATCACACCAATGATTATTTTACAGGCCATATTTAAATATAGTTTTGTTTTTGTTTACTTTGTAACCTACAATCTTCTGATCCGTAGTGATACTCATTATCCATTGTGCTACTGGCTTGTTTACTTTGTTTGAGAAAAAGTCTTGCTATGTTGCTCAGGCTGGCCTTGAACACCTGAGCTCAAGAGATCATCCCATGGGCTAGGACTACAGATACATTTCGCTACACATTTATTTTTAAAGGCAAACAGACACTACAGTATGCAAGTACCTTTTTTAAAAAATTTTAGTTGTAGTTGGACACAATGTCTTTATTTAATTTTTATGTGGTGATGAGGATCGAACCTAGTGCCTCACACATGTAAGGCAGGCGCTCTACCAATGAGCTACAGCTACAGCCCATATGCAAGTACCTTTAAAGGTCTATTACAAGCCAAGAAATCATAAAAATGCACTATGCAGGAAGAATTTCTAGATAATGTAAGAAAATCAAGGCACAATATGTCTTACCTTTTGGAAATTCCCACTACTGGCCCAAAACCCCAAATAACAAAACTTGCTTTTAACTGTTCAGATATGCAAACTCAGGAATGAAGGGTCATCTATGGCAAGTCACACACAGATGTATACTCAACATAATGTTTTCTTGAGGGCTTTTTGATTATAAAACTGACACCAATTATTATCTTCTATATTTTTTTTCCAAATTTGTATTGTTTCCTTTAAGAGTGAGCCATAAAATGGAACACAATAATTTAATAGCCTTCATTTAGTTTTCATACTTTATTCATAAAAATTAATTCACAAATCCATGAAGGGAAAAATAAGACTGAATTCTTCCATTTTAAGATTGGAAAATATAGTTGTCATATATGTAATGAATAGTTGGGTAAACAAGATACAGACTAAGGATGTTATATAAGACACACATGAACATCTTTATAGGCACCAATTAAACTACAAACTATGTAGTGCTATGCTACTAGCCAGATACATATTTCTACTATTCCATTCAAATCAACTCTATAATTTGACAGGACACTTGTTCCTTTCTATTAATGCATTTGGATTTTCTTTTAAGTTGTCTTACCTTTTGCAAACTGGTCCTGTCTGATGGTGGAATCATCTCAGGATTAAGAATGTGAGGAGGATCAATGCCCTTTACTAACTTTTGATTGATTAAGTAGAAAGCCAAGGCAAACTGATCCTTTGAAAGTTTCCCACAGTTCTTTGTGTCACATAATGCCCTGTACAAACAAACAAAAAAGTATATAAGCGCAACAACTACCATCCTCAAACTCAAGGACAGCTGACATGATGGTGCATGCCTCTAATTCCAGCAGTTCTGAAGGCTGAGGCAGGAGGATCAAAAGTTCAAAGCCAGTCCCAGCAAAAATGAGGTGCTAAGCAACTCAGTGAGACGGTGTCTCTAAATAAAATACAAAATAGGGCTGGGAATGTGGCTCAGTGGTCAAGTACTCCTGAGTTCAATACCCAATACCAAAAGAAAAAAAAAAGGAAAAAGAACAATCCAACTATGTACCTTTTTAAAAACAATTGGTTGAATTTTTTAAAAGACAGTAACACCAACTTGCAGCTTGTCTAAAATTCACTCAAATGCCAGAAGAGACAGATAAGATTGTAGAAAGAGAATGTTCACCCTAGTGCTCAGCAGAGGCCTCACTAATTTGGTTTACTTTGTGCTTTCTCATTATTTCCCAGAATCACTACAGAGTAAATGTTATGGTGAGCCAAAGAATCCCAACATTCCCAATTCCTCATATTTTTAACTTTAAAAGATGTTAAAAATGAAACCTAAGTCTCAGAAAATTTAGTTCATTAATGGCACTTTAACAAATCTAAAACAAGGAAAAATTTCCATGTCAGCTTGCTTCCTGAAATTCTTGGAATAGGAGGACACAAGGATCTCTAAGCCAAAGCAGAAAGAACAGCTGCAAATGGAGATTACATGTGAGAAGGCAGCAATCTGGAAAGCTTTACAAAATCACTTGAAGAGAAACACAATGTTTCATCTTATTTTCTTTCTTTGACTCATTCATTTATTAAGACTTGGCTTAATAAATAAATAGTCCCGATCTGTTTAATTATTTGAGAGCCAGCATAGCCTGATAAAAAGACTACAGGTCACAGTATCAAACAGACTTAAAATTCCAGCATTTCTATTTATTTCCTTCTTGTGACCTGAACCAAGCTTTTTAACCTCTCTAAAAATGGAGATAATACCCATCCTGTAAGGTTACTATGAGAATTAAAGATTAGATACATTAAAAGTCTGCACAAAATACCAAGCCCAACTGTGACAGCTGCTATTTATTGAGTATTATGCCTAATGTAGGCACTCAAAAAGTTAGTTATGCATGTTTAATTTTTCCCAGTTTGAGGTACTTGTCCCTTTTAAGGCAGATCTACCACGCTGCTCTGTTCTTTTCTAAGTTTTCTCTTTGCAACTATTTTGTTTCACTTCTGATATCAGCTACCTCTTGAAAACCTCAAAATTACTTCTGGTAATAGTTAGCTGGATTGGTAGGAGGCACACTTCAAAGCATGCTCATATACAATATCACATTTAATGATAAATTCATTTAAAACACTGAGTTGAAAAAAAAACAAATAAAAGAGGAAAAATAAATACACTGAATTGTGTTTCATGTGAGAGTAATCGGGGTACTGGGCATTGAACCCATGACCTTAAACAAGCTAAGCAAATGCTCTAGTACTCAGCTACCTCCCAAGTGCCATCCCCTGGCCCCATTTTTTTTTTTTTCTTGAGATAGAGTCTTGCTTATTTGCCCAGGTTGGCCTTGAACTTGTGATCTTCCTGCCTTAGCCTTGCGAGTAGCTGGGATTTCAAGCATGTACCACCACACTCAGAAAAGGATCTGTATTTTTAAATGATGGAATGTGTTAAATGAAGTGTGAAAGTATACATATACTCTATAGAATAATACAAGTAAGCCTTAAAGACACTGTTTCGTAGATTGCTTATATTTCACATATTTTGAATCTCCATTAAAACTTTAAGTTTAAGATAAACAAATGGTGAATTTTAACATTCTAATAACAATTGACACTTTCAATCTTATAAAATTTCAAGAAACCTATACTCAAAGCTTTTGTCAATTACTCAGAACTCTTCAGATTTAAAATTTTCTCTAGAAAAAATTCGGAAACAAAAACTATCCTGCTTGCAAAAATGACTAAAGTTAAGAGTGCACAAAACTAGACCCCACACAAAACCATATATATTTTTTAAAAAATCCCTTTAAATAAAATAAAGTCTTACCAAATATGGGCCAGTAAGGTAGACGGTAAGCCTGTTTTCAGGAAAATTTCACGGGCCTCCAATCCTGATACAAATCCATCCATATCTTTATCAGTTTTCAGGAAGATTTCATCATACTTAGCTTTTTCTGCAGGGGATACAACCCACTAGAGAGGGGGGAAAAACAGTATTTCTGCCAACATGAAACAAACTTTGAAGTGTCACTCTTTCAACCCCTGACAGTATCTATCATATTCTGAACAAGTCTATCCCACTAACCACAACAGTGTGTCACTTCCATCATATAGTAACCAAAATGCTGTGGTGAAGAGAAAATTTAAAAAATACAGATCAGTTGGGCCAGATCAGTTGGGACTATATACATATAGATGCCCATTTTAACTTTTTTTTTTTCTTTTAAGTAATGAGTAAACTCAAGCACAGTTAACTCTTGACCAGGAAATCCCACATTAACACAAGTAACTGGGAAATAAAATATTCATATGATTCTCAATCTTCATTTTCTATAGCTCCATCCAGTATTATTAACTATAGCCAAACTGGAATTTGCAGATCCTGTCACCACTTTGCTTTACTCAACCTGACAAGAGGCAGGTCAGAGGGAGAAAAAGGTCCTGGACAAACTAGAATTGGATAATCAGATCCCAAAGAATCAAGAGTTAACTGGAGATCAAGCAAAACCAAATATTAATTATGCCACGACAAGTATGCCATGTTATCATGTAGCATCTACCATCTCCAATTCCAGGCAGATATAAGTAAAGCCAATGAAACACTGAGCTTTATATATGAGTTACGGCAATACAAAAGAATATGACTACTCTGAAACGTCTCATTATGTAAGTTCAACAAAAGGCAGCTCTAAGTCTTCGATCCCTTTAACAGTTTTCTCTAACCTTATAAAGTAATTCAACTGTTAAATGACATGCACTTTGCTAAAAGAAAAATCCTTTAACACTGATAAATCTATACCTGTCTTAATGGTGCTTTGGTAGGTAAAATGCCTACAGGTGGTAAGGAGTAGTAAGATTCCTTGGCTGATGCTGAAGAGGGGATCAACCGCATAGAGCCTGATATACTGACCGTTTTTCTTTTAGAAGGTGGCACCAAGGCTGGAGGCAAGGCCATTGGCACAGGTTCCTTCTCCAATGCGGAGTATACCAAAAACATGGCCTTCAAAAAAGATGAACCAGGATCATATATATTAAAATCATTTAACAACATTTACCCAATGAGTTGATCATTACTCAACAACAAATAATCTTCAAGCTGTCTCAAATCCTTCTTTAAGAAATTAGGCTAGGAGGGAAAGTAAGAGAAAAATAGGAAGAAATGAAAGGAAGGAGGAAGAAAAGTAATCAAAGCTAAGCAATATTTAGGAAAATATTCCAAGCAGCTAAAAAATTTAGATACACACCCTTTAACTAAAGTTACTGCAATGACAAAAGCAAATGATAATGGGGGGCAGGGGTTAGTATCTATAAAGAAAGAAGTAATTCCTGAATATATAAAATGCTCCTAGAAATTAAGAGAAGATAACCTTAAGTCCAACAGAAAAATAAAGTGTACAGATACTTTTCTTTAAAGTATCCAAAGTATCTAAATATTATATTTTCTTTAAAGTATCTAAAGTATCTAAATATTATAAATGGCCCATCCTTTAACATACAATTAACATAACATACAAACATACAAATTGATATAAATTCAATTTCACTCTTAATAAGAAAACTACAGGTTAAAGTTATAGTAAATACCATTTTCTACCTCACTGGCAAAAATACAAGGTTTAATAATGTGTTTTCTTAGCTATGTGGGGAAATAGGCACTGTCATAGATTGCTATTGGGCAACTGAGGGTACAAAATATGTCAACTGCAAACACACCACTTTGGAATAAGAATTATTTTGGACTGAAGACAACTAAGAAGCAGCAAATACAAACAAAAAGTTCTCTGCTCTCCCGCTATATGCCTATAGGAAGGACTTGAGTTTACAAAGGTATGCCTTCTTCTTTCTGTAAGAATGAATTTCCTCCCCAAAACAACTCTAGACCCTTATCAGCCTGGAGATGGCATATCAGAAGAATCCATGTAACAAACTTGCCTACTAACTAGACTTTATCTATCATTAGCTCCACATATATCTATCTTACAATTTGCAACCCCTACAGACTCAAGGTCTTTTTCTTTTTTCTTGTCATCTCTAAAATTTATGTTCTTTGTTAAAGATGCTACATAAGCTGAGTTTTAAGCAACTTCTTTGAGAGTTACTCTTTCCCTGAGTTGTCTCCTATATACATGAGAAATATATAAGTTAATAGACTTGCTTTTCTTTTAAATCTTTTGTTAAAAATATCCCAACCAAGACCTTAATAGGGTAGAGGGAAAATTATTTTTTCTCCCCTACAGAGGTCAAATTGATACTCTTTTGAAGGGCATAATGGCAACATCTACCAAATTGCAAATGTACTTTCTCTTTAGCTCAGCTATCTCACATTTGGGAACCCATCCTTAAATTTATTTGCCTACATATAAAATGCTGCAAAGGTTATTAAATGCAAACTTGTATCAGCACCCAATGTTCATCAGTTAATATATAGTTTTAAAAACTATAGTATAGCGGGGCACAGAGGCACACACCTGTAAACCTGGCAACTGGGAGGCTGAGGCAGGAGGATCACAAGTTCCAAGTCAGCCTCAGCAACTTCGCAAGACCCTTAGCAATTTAGCAAGATCTTGCCTTAAGGTAAAAAATAAAAAGGACTGGTTATATAACTCAGTGGAAAAGCTCCCCGGGGTTTAATCTCCAGTGCCAAAAAACCAAACAAAACTATGATATATCCATACAATGAAATGCTATGAAGCAATGAAAGAAAAATCATGCAGAAACATTCTGTATTTTAACTATGATAGAACTTTAACAGGTATATGACTGTCAGAACTCATCAAATTATTCACTTAAATTGGATTCAATTTAACTATATACAGTCTTCAATAGATCAGGAAAAAAAAAGAATCTTGTGGCACTCTGAAAAGAAACTCAAGAATCTAAGTAGTGTTGAACAGTGTTATCTTTTGTAGTAAGGAAAAAATAATTACTCATTTTTTTTTATATCTGCATTAAGAAATTCTAGGAAGAGAGACAGGAAAAGAAGAAAAATACCTGGTTATAGAGTAGGGTAACTGGAGCAGTTAAGGACAGGAATGAACTGAGAATTTTTTTTCACTGAATGCCTTCTTGTATTGATTTCTGAACTATAAGAATGTATTGCCTGTTTTAAAATATTCTTAATTAACAAATACTTAAAGCATATACACAAAGTGGGACAACTTGCCTATAGATATTCCCAGGACATAAGCTACAAGATTTTAAAGGATTCAAGACACTTTCAACACTTGTAGAATATGAAAAGTTTCCAGGGCTTTAAAAAATAAAAAAGGGAGAAAAAGAACAGATTTTTTTTTTAAAGTTTCCATGACTATAGTTAAGGATATGAATTACTCAAAATAGCTTAGAACCTCTAGAAAGAGTCCAGCAGCAGAGCCAGGTGCAGTGGCAAACGCTTGTAATTCCAGTGACTCAAGAGGCTGAGGCAGCAGGATCACAAGTTTCAGGCCAGCCTCAGCAACTTAGCAAGGCCGGAAGCAACTTGACTGTCTCAAAATAAAAAATAAAAAGGGCTGGGGATATGTCTAAGTGGTAAAGTGCCTCTGAGTTCAATCCCTAATACCAAATTTAAAAAAAAAACTACAGCAGCAATTATGAAAAAGCTTGTATACTTCTTGATTTATTTTCTTCCACTGAAAATTATAATTCTCCCAAGTGGATATCTATTTTTGATTTTAAGTTTAGTTTTGTGGAGCTTTCAAATTAATGTTTATTGAACGCCCAATACAACAACATTGATTCATGATTTCTACAATTCCTAATACTTTAAAAATGAAGAAACCAAGGCTCAGAGATGCCCAGTACATTATGGTAAAGAAGTCACACAGCAGGGTTCAAAGATCTTCCAGCTACAATGCTCTTACTTTATCCAGATTTCATCAACATTATTAGCAACACACATGTAACTTTAAAACCCCATGCTTTCTTTTTACAACTGATAAAGCTAAAGTTTAATACATGAGTACTCAATATTTTAGCAGACATCAGAATTACCTGAACAGCTTGATAGCCCTATACTCAGAATTCTGAAATCATTAAGGCTGATTCTTCTAGGGCTAGGTCAAAAATTTTTCATTTTACCAAGTTCCCAGGTGCAGCATCCAGAGACCAATTTTACCTATTTGACTCAAACCAGATTCTCTACCCACACACTAGCCAACTCACATGTAGCCAACTCAATGTCAGTTTTAGGAAAACACAAATTTTCTGTCTCAGAAAACTTGAATCTCCAGAAAGAAAACAATCAGGCTAGCATATATTTTCAACCAAATTCACAGCATTTGTAGTATTAGACTGGTACCTTTCTAAGAGAAGTGTTTAGCAAGCACATTAAAGGTCAGCACTCTGCTTGCTACAGACAGAAGTCACTTCCTAAAAAAGTGAATACTACAACAAAAAATAAATGTTAGCCATTTGCTGACAATAAACAACACATTTTTTTTTGAAAGTATGAGAAGATATCAATCTCAGGTTGTCTTGAAAATAGTTTCCTTGACAAAACTGAAGTCCCAATTTTTTCACCAATAAAAGAAAAAAAGTAAACAGAATACTTTTAGTTCTGTTGGGTTGTGATTGTTTGCTTTCTTATTACACTGTACTTTATCTTATTAAAAGTCTGGCACAGGGCTAGAGTTGTAGCACAGTGATAGACAGCCTGCCTAACATGTGAGAGCAGTCAGCTCGATCCTCAGCATCACATATAAATAAAATAAAGATCCACTGACAACTAAAAAAAAGTGTATTTTAAAAAGTCTGGCACAAATAAAAACGTAACTGTACCATACTCACCCCCCAAAAAAAATATAGTCAGTTTTCAAACTGAAATATACTAGCAAATGCCTTCAGACAGGTACAGATAGATACTAAACTTAGAAGCATTATCTTTTTTTATTTTGCATTTTTCCAAGAAGCCCCTTTAATGCCCTATTAGAAACTTTCTACCAAGCTAAATGAGTCAGAAGGAAAATTCAGGGAGCTATTTTTCTAATATTTCTATACTCTAATCAGCTTATTCATCAATGAGTAAATAAAATATTGATGCAGAAATCTACACTCAAGGGGGTAGATCTAGTTTAAAAAGTACATTTATGTGTATATACATTTAAGTATACACATGTAAAACTCTAAAGAGTCATTTTGGTTGTGGTCAGAATACCCATGCTTGAACTTTTTTTTTCCCCCCTGTGGGGCTGGGGATCAAATCCAGGGCCTTGTGCATGCAAGGCAAGCACTCTACCAACTGTGCTATATCCCCAGCCTCCATGTTTGAACTTTACAAATGCACTTATTCATTTTTTCAAGGATTTTTCTAGATTCAGAAGTTTTAATTAAACCACTAGGCTTCAAAAAATATGAAAAAGCATTAAGAATTTACATTTGATTAAATTAAACCCCTATCTCTCACCCTACACAAAGCTTAAAATCAAAGTGGATCAAAGACTTAGGCACTAGAACAGAGACCCTGCACCTAATAGAAAAAAAAATAGGTCCAAATCTTCACCAAGTTGGCTTACAAACTGAGTTCCTTAACAAGACTCCTAAAGCACAAGAAGTAAAATTAAGAATCAATAAATGGGATAGATTCAAATTAAAAGGCTTCTTCTCAGCAAGAGAAACAATCAATGTGAGGAAGAGCCTATAGACTGGGAGACAATCTTTATCACATGCATCTCTGATAAAGCATTAATCTCTAGCATATATAAAGAACTAAAAAAAATTAACAAAAAAACAATCTAATCAATAAATGGGCTAAGCAACTGAACAGACAATTCACAGAAGAACACAGTTGATCAACAAATATATGAAAAAGTTTCAACATCTCTATCAATTAGAGAAATGCAAATCAAAACTATTCTAAGATTTTATCGTACTTCAGTCAGAATGGCAATTATCAAGAACACATCCAACAATAAATGCTGGCAAGAATGTACGGGAAAAGGTACACAATGTACACAAAGGGACTGTTGGGACTGCAAATTGGTGCAACCATTATGAAAAGTAGTA